TCAGACAGGTCCTCTTTGACTTAGTTCTTGGAGATGTGGTGATGAATAACAGGTTCAAGAAAACTGTTGAGAAATATGGAAACAATCATATTATTGAGCTCCATGTTTGAAGGCGCAGGTGAAGGAAATTTTATAAGAATGAAGGGGAAGGTGGAAGGGGATTTTTTCTCAAATCTGTATGAGACTGTTACCTATTTCTGTTTGTTTTCTATTATCTATACATTTCGTTTTTGAATTGCTAATATCTGATGATATTAATGGACTTTTTCAAGTCAATAAATACTTACAAAACAGAGAGCTGGGGTTCCATTTTCTGTGGATCACGGGTAACAGAGGTGGTGAAGTCCTGAAGCTGGGCTAAAAGAACGTTCAGAGAACAAAATGGGGCCACTCCAAATGAGCGTGTTAAGGATCCTCATGTAGGAGCATATTATACATTTAAGTCCCTTGAACGAAAATGATCCTGAATTTTCTTTATTTGAAAATTTGAGATCCACCTATGCATCATAGATGACTTTGAGTTGTGCAACACTCAGATCTTGCCCTCCAAAAATTTGAATTTTTCTTTTTTCTTTGAGGCTGGCCTCTAGGTTTCAGAGGTTATGTTCCATTGGAGAGCATTTTAAAGAAGGGTGCACCTTCAAAATTTATTATGGTATATAATTTTGATGTAAAATGTTGTTAGGATTATCTCAAAATCTATATTTATATAGAATTATAAATTTTTTAAAAATGGTTAAAATAAAGTAGATCTATAAACCTATGAAAATCTTAAAAATGGACGGTGTAGATAATATGTTGTAAAATACACTATTTCTGAGACTTAAAATCTTTTATTTTTCATGGTCATACATCTCAATTAAAACTAACTTTTCCTATGGATTTTTGAGGTATATTTTTTAGGTGCATATGTAAGTTGCAACCTTATATAAACTTTTTCCTTTAAGAAATGGTGCAACTATTTGTCATATTCATACATCTTTCCGATGGATTTTTGAGGGGCATCTGTAGTTCTAGCATCTTTATTAAAGAAATGATCATTTCAATGCATACAAAACATATGCTCCCTGGGGAGCAAGGAAACTATAAAGAAGTCTTATCGGCCCGAGTCGGCATACAGTGAATCGTTAGATGACGCCATGACATATTCATACATCTTTCCGATGGATTTTTGAGGGGCATCCGTAGTTCTAGTATCCTTAATTAAGAAATGACGCCATGATAAATTCATACATCTTTCCGATGGATTTTGAGGGGCATCCGTAGTTCTAGTATCCTTAGTAAAGAAATGATCATTTCAACCAATGGTTTAAAAAACGGATCGGTGACCCCGATCGGGCACCCAAAAAACCGATCTGGATCGGCGAATCGGCGATTCGGATCGAGAATCGGGTGAATCGATCAGAATAAAGCTTAAAAAAAATCCGAAAAAATTATTAAAATTCATTATAAATATTGTTTTTTAGGAATTCAATAAGAAATGAGGGTACTCCATTAAGAATTTTCATGTTTTTAAATGAATATGTGAATATTGATATGTTCTTTCCCTGCATGAACCGCCATTCAGCATTTAATTTACATCACGTAAAAAGATAAACATAGAATTATCATGGAATAAGTATATCAACATACATGGACTACAATAAAGCATAAAATTAGTAACATATGATCTAAAAATAAAATGATAGACGACGTTATTATTCTTCTTGGTCACGCTGGTGCCATTGATTGAATTCGTTTAACAATTCATTGATTCGATCTAAAAACGAATCATCGATATTAGCAGGCGTCTGACTATTCCCAAATCCCTAAGTGTTAGTGTTTTGTTGTGTTTCCAATCTAAAATCCCCAAAGCTTGTCCATCCTTCATGCTCACCTGTACTGTCGTGCTCATCCCTACACTGTTGCTGTTAGGACTCGATATGTGAACAATATAGCTGGGATAGGGTGGCCTCAGAATCATCATCTCTCTCATTTTCTCTTTGAATAATATGGATTAAAAAAAAAAATAACAAATTTCCAAAAAAAT